AGTTTACCTGCCACTTGATCATTTGTGACATTTCCAGTTGTTCGAAGGTTTGAGCGCGGTTTCTTCCTGGTGTGGCCTCAAACATCTCTCCGTCGTGCTCTGGAATTAAAACCGGATTTTCGGTCTTCCAGGTTGGCTCTACGAGCCTGTGGTGTACACCATTCGATTCTCCATTGCAAATATGGTATCGAAGATATACTGCTCAGTTCCCATTGAAACTTTCGTTTTTCACTTCGGCCTTTTCCTTATCGCGATCGCCTTCCTCAGCCCTGGCATCCACGTGCAATTCACGTGCGCGGTGCGTGGATGACTTCCCACGCACTTTCGACACGCATAGCGTGTTATCGATCGGGCTGCCCGCCAGCTACGTGAGGAAGGCCGGCTGTCAACGTGAGACTCTCATCATAGTAGGCATGTTGCATGGAGAAATGAAATTTTGACACCAAGCTCGTAGAGCCACCTGGGAAACCCGAAAATCGCGCACGTGAATTGAACGTGCGATGACAGGTGAAGAGGAGACGATCGACGGATAAGAAAAGGCCGAAAACGGCGTGAAAACGAAAGTTTTACAAGTGGGAACTGAGAAGCATATTGTTCGATAACATATTGCATGAGACTCGATGGTGTAACACAGCTCCGTAGAGCCCATGGACGACACGAAAAATCGGGTGTTTAAATTCCAGAGCATGACGGAGATGCGATGTTGTGAGGCCACACCAGGGAAGAAACAGCCTGCTCAAAGCCCGAGCGTATCATACTTTCGACCTACAGAAAAGTAGACTTACTCTACGATAGGGAAGAGAGTTCATCCCTCCCTTCTCGAATTTCCTCAAAACTTCCCTTCGAAAACTGGGAAATGTCACAAAATGGATCAAGTGGCAGGTAAACTAGGTGTTCTCCAAAGTGAGTTGTATACCGTTTGACAGCATTTTTATGGGGAATCGAACGGTGCACATCTCAGTCTTCTATGTTCATCTGGAAAACAAAAAAAATGTGATCATTTCACAAGGGCATGACGAGGTGTGATGTTTAGGGTCATACACGGAAGGAAGGCTCACCTGCCACCAAGCTTTCCATGTAATTCCTACAGAAAAGTGACCGTAGTCTACGCTGGTGAAGATAATTCCTCGCTATCTTCATAGCTTTCTGCAAAACATCTCCTCTGAAAATGGAAAATGTTACATAATAGGCCCACCATGCCTGCTGAGAACTGCTCAAAGATTCCACTTGAAATACAGAGAATGGGATATTGAGAGCAGAGGGAACACGTAAAGCCCGTAAGCGCTTAAAAACGAGATAAAAACCTAAGAATTCGGAAAATAACATTCATCTAATCTCACAATGTAGTGGATTAGATTGAGTACGTGGCGCATCCTGCGGTATGTTTTGAGACGCTTCTTTCTGTGTGGCGGTCAGCTCGCATAAGCGGGATTAGATACACACCACATGCGAGCAACTAGTTTTTGAGATGAAAATTGAGTGCATGGCGCAATCCAGTGTAGTGCCGCTAGAAAACTTTAGGACGGATTCTTATAGATCTCGACGAGATAAGTTCAAGGCTGTTTTCAGATTTTGAAAATCTTAATTTTAAACCGATTTATAACGAAAAAACGAAAAAAACGCGAAATCGTCTTTGGCGCCAATTGGCGCCAAATGACACCAGCATCAAAAAGGAATGTCATATTCGTAATCAGAGCATTGAATTACCCCAATAGGCAAAGTTTCGACGAAAAATGAAACTGTGAGATTTTGGGGCAGTAACAGTGGAACAGTGAGTGCCCAATCGGCAATAGGGGAAGGCTGAAAACGGTGAAAAACCAAATTTTCAACTGGGAGGAGTTATGCATATCATTCGACAGCATTTTTCACGGGGAATCTAACGGGGTACATTTCAGTTCTGCGAGCTCATCCGGAAATGCAAAAAAATCTGATCTTTTCACAAGGGCATGACGAGGAGGCATGTTCACAGCCACAGCACGGCGGAAGCGCTCGTCTACAAGCAAGCGTATTGTCTTATTTCTACACACGAGAAAGCGTACTCTACAACTGTAAAGGAATTTCCTCGCTACCCCCTCAGATTTCGGAAAAACCTTCGCTCAAACATTGGAAAATTTCACCCAACTAATTGCTAACTGTCCTGCTGAAAAATGATCTATGGTTTCCATTTGAACACGAGAGGAGGAGTTTTTGAGCGCAGTCATGTACATTTTGAGTCATTTAACGCGCCGCTATGGAATAGGGACCATGAAATCTGAAAAAAAGCAATCGATCCTTTCACAGTACAATGGACAATGTTGAATACGCGGCGCGTTCTGGAGCAACTACTGAGACCCATCTCTCTGAAGAAAGATCATAGTGCACAAGCGGGATTATATGCGCACCACATTCAAACAATTTTTTCTCGAGCCAAAGCTCGAGTGCATGGCGCAATCTGAAGTAGGGCTTTATGAAAGTTTAAAAGCGTATTCTTGTAGAACTCGGCGAGCTGAGTTCAACGCTTTTTTCAGATTTCGAAAATCTCAATTTTGAACCGAGTTATAACGAATTCACGAAATTAACGAGGATTCGCGTTATTCGCGTGAATTTTCGATTTCAAACGGCGAGTACTGTACATAGTGCTTTTCCTATCATGAACATTCCACAAGGATCCCTTTAATCCCAATCCAAGCCTTTGAGAGAAAAAAATAATAGATCTTGTCACTATCACGAATTGCATTCAGACCGGGACAACGCAATTCATCGTGGCTGGTGGATACGAATTCACGAGAGATTTCAGCAGTGATACAGTTATGAAGGTAACGAGCGCAGCTTAATGCTGACTCACTTTTTGTTAATTTTTGCAGGTACGTAGAGCTATTTTAACAACTCTATCAGGGTCAAAAAGGATGGGATGACAATCATATAGTAAAGGTGTTTTTTCTAGTGGAAGTAAGCACAGAATATGATAGCTGTATTGCAGCTATTGAAGTTGTACAGACCCATTTCTTCAACACCGGTCTTCTATTATAGAACGCGATTCGGTCTTCATACGCAGTTTCACAGAGTATGGGAACACCCATTGAGCATGACTTTGATTGTTCAAAACATACGGAAAGCAACGTCCTTTCCTGCGAAAGCAAGGAAACGCTTCGCTTCACTGTCGTGTGTTACGGTACTGGAGAGGAGGCCCTTTTCGCGGCGAGAAGGCAAAGACGCAGACGGGACAGCGGACGAGTCGCAACGCGTGCTATGTGGTGTGGGATATGTCACATGATATACTACAGTACATTCTATTTCGCGGTGCAAGTTGTCCGCTGACCTTTCTGTGTCTCTGAATTTCCGTCGCGCGACGAGCTTCTGTCATCCGCGAACATTCCATTCACCATTCACGTAACGAATTTAGTTTAGGTTACCATCGCATAGAGACCCCATCGACTGTTGCACATTTTGCATCCCAAGCTTAAAAAGAGGGGCATTGCGGATCACAGCACCTGTCCATACACTTGTACCCAGCTTTGTTGGGTTTCCATTTCTTTACAAGCTGCCCAGCTGATCTCTCAAGTGTTGCGTAGTTGGCCCACTCAACATTTAGGAGTTTGTGAGACAGTATGTGCTATGTGGTATTAGCAGCACAGAATCCCTGACATGCGCGATGAAGTGTGCGCATTCACACAATGTCGCTGAGACACCGTTGCACCACAGGGTGTCTACCGCCACCCCTCTCTTCCACCTGTACAGTAGCACCGAAACTTGTTCAAAGTTCCTATCTCTCCGATCGGGCTTCTAGTGGCAGGACTAGTCCACATGACCATAGGGAGCGGTCAACAGAATCATCTGGGAGTGGCGCCGTCGCGCGCGGTTACTCGCGCGGTATCCTAACGCGGCAGTTTTTGTGAGCGCGGCAATAATTGTTGTTGTCAGTATGACATTTTCTACATTTCTTTCTTTGTCAATTGTGGCGATGAATTAGCTGGAGTCCACATTAATCAAGCAGACATCGAAGTCAATTTTGCTTAGTGATATACCTTTTTCTTCCATAAGACTGGGTCAGATTCGCGGGAAAGCTCAGTTTAAGATTAACGCTCAGAGGAGTAGAGGGCTTCCGAAGAGCGTAAGCAGTTACCATTCTGTCCGGAATTCGTCCCTCTCCATCAGGCGTAATCCACTACTTCTGACTTTTCTGAGATTTTTCTATGAAGTGAAATCTCAGCAATGTCAGAATTCAGACCAGAAAATCAGAATGAATAGAAAATTGGAATAGAAAAATTCATTTCCGCATTATATGGGAACGGGAGAAGGAAAAAGGTCTTTTGGAACCGAAATCACCCATGTATTGACTGAAGATTAAAAGGGAAGAGTCGGTTTAGCACTCCTTCGATATTTGCAATCGAATGACGCCTGTCATGATAGGAAGAAACTCGTCCATCGCCGTCGCGACGTTGCGACTACGACCACTAGCGCAGTCTTCGGACGATTCTCTTGACAGGCACCCCATGACCATCAATCAGCGCTATCCCTTACACTGTCCTGTTTGGACTGATTCGAACCCCACCCCTTCATCTCTTCCTCCCCCCTTCCCTCTTCTCCCTCATCCTGAACTGCCTACGTTTCACCCCTTGATCGAACACAAAGTGCACGGCAGAGCCTTACAAAGACCGCTCCAACCGCTTCCATTTTTCTCGTCTGCATCTTCCTGGTGTCTGCGCTCTCTTATCCCTTGTACTCTCTCGCCCATCCTCCATCGTCTATGCTCAGTCTCTCATTCCCCTAGTGAAAAAATAAATGAGAGTCTTCACATGGTACCGATCAATAAGTCGATAGAGCCCTATCGTTTAAGGTTGTGTTTAGGAACTACACTATGGCATACTTCTTGGGTCGCCCAATCAATTGGAACCGCAAGAGCTGGATGGAACTGTCTTCAAAATACTAGCGGATAATACTCTAGTAGGGATACTTTACAGAATTGCTATCCCATATTGAAGAATTTACATCAACGCTTCGTTTCTCTGAAAGCTCAGGTGCCAGCCGAAGTCACAACTTATTGGTGCATAATTAAGCGAATACCGCAAATTGTGGCTGATCGTAAACATCATATCATCCAGGTAGGGATTAATTTGTAGAAACTTAATGCTTCTCATAGCAGATTTTTCAGATGAACGCATACGTCAAAGGCGGCAACGAGAACGTTGTGCACCATATGGAGGTTAAGCAGTTCTGGTGCTAACCTAGTTCAGGGGGGGGGGAGTGTGATGGGGAGAGGGAAACGTGCGGCGGCGCGGCGCTCTGTTCGTCTGAATTTCCTGTGGGCCATCACTATTTCACCGCCACATGGCATTTTTGATATACAGCGACACCGCAAACTAAGCATCGGATGCGCAGACGAAGAGAGCACCACTCCACTGGCACCCCGAACTGCGAATCGCAGTTTTGTAGTGGATACTTCGTAATAATAATAGTAATAGTACTGATAGTAGTAATAATAATAAAATAACAATAATAATAACAATAGTAATAATTTATAGTTTATAATTTGAAATGAAACACATGAATATGCATGCATTCCTGACTTTCCGTCTTGATGCTTGTTCTTTAATTTTCGATATTCAATGAAAACGCGGAAACCAAAAAAATTATTTCGTTTTCCCCAAACGGCAGCATGAATGCCGATTCAAAGGGGGATGAAGTAGTCCATGATTCAATTTCCGTGGTAACAAACTATGCCTGTGTGAGCTTCAACCTTACAATGTTTCTAACTTCCTTCAGACCCATTTTCCATCCAACTTCTTTAGCTAGCAATGAGCCACGTTTCTAAAGAATCCCATATATTCTCGAATTTCTGGAATAATTTTCCAACTTGCATGACCAAAATGCCTCAGTTGTACTTTTCAATAGGCTTAGGAAAAGCAATATTTCATCAATTGGTAAGCAACATGTACAGAAACAAGTTGTCTGAACAAACAGGCTGTATCCTACATAGAGAAGTGTGTCATTGGCCGATGTCAGACTTTGCGATTGGAGCGATTGTGCACAAATTGCGGTCCATCGCTGCGAGCGACGGGAGGTTTACACGGCCGACCAACGATAATTCGGCGTCATCAGCTCGTAAATGTCCCGTCGCTCGCAGCGATGGATCGCTCAAGCGATCCGTCGCTCCTGCAATTTGTGCTAAATCGCTCCAATCGCAAAGTCTGACATCGGCCATTGTGTCCTCGTCCCTACCACATACCAAATTGTTTGTAGCCGAGGGCTATTCCAAGGATCACGTGTTCCCGGCTTGAACTCTGGAAGGTATTTCAAATTGCGGATCAGGTGCATGTATCTCCACTGTTCGAAGCCTAGCTTGCAACCATGTATTACTAATGCCTGCCAACCAGTACCTGTCTCAATTTTCCGAAACTGGCTCAAAATCTTAATTTTCTCTTCCTTCTGATCGTCGATATAGCTTCGATTTCTGACAGTGACTCTATTTTAGAAAAAGGTCGGTCCTCACCAGCTGGGTCTGCATCATTTCTCAGTTTAGATATTTCTATGCGAGACGGATGACCAAACAGAAAGGAGCGAGAATTGTAATAATCTGGTAATGGATCAGGATGCTCGTTCTTGCAGTCATGTAATTGCTGCTTGGGCAAAAGGCGAAGGCGTACGTTGCTTCTCAATTCATGTGTCACTACAAAAGCCATTTTTCCGTTGATTTTATTGCACCGCACTTCAAACAGCTTTCAGTATCACATGATTAATATTTGCGCTCTTTTACTCCACAACAGGCCCTCAACTTGTTCCGTAGCCGTCGCGCCGGCATGGACGCCTTGCTCCTCGCATAAGCTCAAAGACATCGGGGTTAACCCTGCTTAGGAGCGGCGTCCATATCGGCGTGAGGGTTTGCGATTAGGCTCTTACGCCGCGCTCGCTGCCCGCCACTACGCCACGCTGGTTGATTGAGTAGGCCCCAGCAGGCCCGATATACTACGACAAGACTTGCTGTAGGTTTCTCTTGCCTACGAATACGTCCAATGACTCTATCTTCTTTGGCCCTATGGCCTACGATGATTTTTCCCTGGTCCGGCCTACGGGCATCACTATACTTTACACGGCTAATACATGTAACGTAGGTACGCTGTTTAGTACGGTGTTTTAGATATTGCAACAAAACACAAGAAATAAAAGCACCATAGATTCATGTTTTGAAACTGCGAAAAAGATGCTACAAATGACTGCTCACGGGGTCGAACCCATACGCTGTCCTTACGAGGGGTGACGTGGCAGCAGTCCAGCTGTTCATCTCGGGCATCCATGCCCGGGGTGACGTACTACGATGGGCTGCGGGTGACGGCGAGTGAGAGCAGCGGCCATCCTCGACGGCTGCGACGTGTAGACTGACTTGAACAGTACTCGCCCGTACTCTGCTTCTCTGGCGCAGCTTCCAGCGTATTCCCACAGCGATTGTGCGCGTCAGAACCCGCGCCCACCCGACAGTGTGACCCCTTTGAGTTAAGTTGTACGGAAGTCACCACAGTAACCATTAGTTGTTTCATTTTATTTCGTCCGCTACTTTCATCCTTATTTATGTGAAAAGGTTCATCAGCTATGCAGCGGACCAGTTTAACAAGGCCTTTCAAGCTTGTTTCAGGCTAGAGAAACTGCGCAATTTCCTTGATCGGAGTGCAGGGGCTGGTTCACTTGCACCGTAGCTCTGATTTTTATTAACCCTAGCACTTGGAATTTGGGCTATACCGTTGTGATCCACGATGAGTGTGCGCCATCGTCTAGGGGACCATCAGCAGACGAGGTCTACTGTTATTGGGTAGAATTTTTCAAATAGGGAGATCGATCCCGTGCTTGTGGGCAGCTAGCTATAATACATCGCTATACGGCCTGTGTTGACAGTTCTGTTGTGCTTACCAACGTAACCGCATGTCAGCCTCGTGTGACAATAGATCTTAGCATCGATGCATCTTGATTAGATACCGCTCCTTTCTATTAACAACCTTGGCACATTGTCATTTTTGAAGGGCCTGATGATTGCTGTGATAATGTTACGTGGTCTGCTGGAACCGAAACACGCTCACAAATTAAGACCCGTGCGAAAAAATGCGAGGCTCACTAGCGGGGCGACAGCATAGTGTGCAACTGAACCAATCCAAAAGTGCCGCCTCTCTTCAGAGAGTCGACTGAAGCACTGAAGCGCAAAGGTACTGGTTCCTGTGCGTGAAGGAATAGCGATTTTACTTTGTAAATTGGAGTACCCTAATAGTGATTGAAATCTTTTTTGCAACTGTCTCACGACGGGCAGCCCTGACAGGGAAATCGTTCAGAGGCTCCTCATGACCATATTTTGAGCCTGTTTTTGTTTGTTAACTGCTTTTTGGCCACAGTTCTCCTTGCGAATGTTTCACAAGAATGCTGGGTTGTGAACAAAACTTTCGCCCCAGACGGAACTCGAACCCACACGTCTTGGTTACTGGACAAATGCGCCACGAGTTACGCTACAGGAGCACCATTTCTTCCCTACTCGGCTCTTCATGGTGTACATACCATAGCCTGCCAGCACTCACACGTTTTACGATACGGTTTTGTGTATATCCTGAGCGTCGAAGAGTGTCGTTGTGGTTGCATTATGTCATGCAGCATCTGTCGCTGACCAAAGTGCACACCGAAATTCACCCATCAAATTAAATATTAGGTTGGTAACTTTGAAATGTCGTTTTTGATCAAAGATTAACTTTGAAATGTCGTTTTTGATCAAAGATTATCTTACGTATAAAAGCTATACCAAAGCCTATCAACCTAATTTATTTTTTAGGTGTATCATCCACTCTCCACCTTTTCCTATGCAAGGCAAGGAGGTCTACCTCGTAGAACTCTAGTAGGTACGACCCGAAGAAGTTAGGTTCTCGAATTATGAAGTCGTAGCGGTTATCAAATTGGTTTGCTGCTAAGGAGTATTGCGCTGACCTGAGTCAGCGATAGTTGGAGGGTGCCAGGTCTGAGCTATATGGCGCGAGAGGGAGAGCGTCCCAGCCCAACTCCTCGATTTCTTGTTGCAAAATTTTCGCGACATGTGATCTTGCATTATCGTGCCAAAATGTTTCAATGACCGAATTTGCCCTTTGAATACGTAGAGCCCGACCCTCGCCTGCGGGATGTTGTGCGCAGAGTTTAGCTGTAACTATATGACGCACAATCAGCTCTCCATAGTAAGCCATTCTTATACTGCTTCACCATACTGCAGCAAGACTTTTTCTCTGTGGCTGTCCGGTTTCGAAGAAGGCCGCTCAGCGTCCATCTGTTGCCACCATGGCCATCTTCTTCCCTTTGTTTGTATCGGGCATCCTCTGATAAACTACGCCTTTTCAACGAAAGTCAGGAACCTTCTTCTTCTTGGTTTATGCTGCAGAGTTCAAGTAATTGGCAACAATACTGCTTGCTCGTGTCGCTCAGATGGGCCGAACCCATTTTTTCTCCTGGAAGGCCCTAACAGTCGCACGTAGGCAACTTTCATTTTTTTTGTTGACACAACTGAATCTCCATGCAAGTTTTGTGGCGGTATGCCGAGAACTCAATTCGTTGGACTTCTTGATTTCTCCTTCATCTGGAGCTAGAAGTCAAAATCCACGACCAAAATCGTCATCAGCTCTTTACCTCAGTCGTTAGAAGAGCTGAAACCAATTGGCGTGAAAGTGCACCAGAAACTGAGTGGTTGCTGCTCAATGCTTTGCCGTAATGAAGTGGGATTCGTTGGCTGTTTTTCTTTGCTTGAGTATACACCGCTCAGGCGATGTTTTGTTCAATGTTCGAGCAAAAAGTTCTGGCTCAGAACATCCGCTCGCTGACGGCTAAGGTTTCGCAATATACCGCACTGAATTGCTCTATCGAATGGAATGCTCATATTACGAGGTTGAGTTTCCAGCTGAGAAACAAAGCCACTGAAGGAAGCGACATTCCAAAGTTACCAAACCTAATAAATTAATAATAATAAAATGATTAGAAGCTCGCAAAGAACAAATTTGTTCGCAACTACGTGGAAGGGATCCGGCTGTGTTCTCGCGCAAGGTGTCTGATCATAAGCTGATCATTGATGTCAGAGGATCACGGCTTGGAAGGTCAGTCTCACAGACTGCACCGAGCTACCATTCCTTCTTCCACTCTCATAACAGCTGAAGAATGGGCGGATCGCAAATGGCCGTTTGCTGGTCGTTCTTCTACTAGAAAAGCTGCTAGAAGACCTAAAACTAGTCTAAATGCTCTATAGACTTTGATCGTATAACCTTCTGAGTAAATATCCGCAGTCCTTGAGAGCGTATGCACCAACTGACCCAAAAAACCGAGTAGCTGGTCTTCTCAGTAGAATTTCTATCTTCGTCCAGCGTAAGACAACACACCGCCGGTTATTTCCACCCCATTTTCGCTTTTGAAGGAAGAAACAATTGCTAATCGGATGGCTGCTGCATGTATGGTCCAATCCTATCAGTGATACACTGTAACGTATCTGGGATGCGCGGTATGTCCAGAAAAGCTAACAAGGAATGTCCTTCAGGTCGCCATGGCCGTTCTACATGAGATGTATACCACTCTATGCATTCTGACACGCTGATTTCGAATCTGCTTTCCAAATCTGCTGAACGACTCTCCGAACGGAGTTATGAAGCGTACTAACTCAGGGTGATGGTCCGGGTTGGCAGGTAAAAAGCTCGTAGGATCAGATCCTTTGAAAATTGTTGCTTTGCTTTTGTCTCTAGAAGTGTTGCGGACAAAAGCAACGCAACAAACTTGCAAAGAAACCGATCCTACGAGCTTTTACCTGCCACCCCGGACCATCACCACTGAGCTATTACGCCTTCATAACTCCGTTCGGAGAGCCGTTTAGCAAATTTGGAAGGCAGATTTGAAATCAGCGTGTCAGAATGCATAGAGTGGTATACATCTCGTGTAGAACGGCCATGGCGACCTGAAGGGCATTCCTTGTAAGTCAACTCTGATCGCTTTTTATATCACAATGACGTCATTCAAAAGTAATATAGACTGTGTATTGTGATCAAGCTGCAACAACTGCCTTTTACTGTTGATGATTACTTTCAGCCTATTTATTATCCTCCTGAAGCTGGCTTGCCAATAGGCGGTAGGACAGGAAGGAAGTTCCTCAAAGTTGAAATTCATTATAACAATCCAAGTATGGAATCCGGCATACTCGATGGATCAGGCTTCGTGTTTCACGTCACTCCTAGACTCAGGTAAGTTCTCCACTCTCTTTCTCGAGAACAATTTTGGGTTCAGCATCATTGTGGAGTCTCTCCCGTCGACAGGGTGCTAGATCAGGCGTTATCTGGTAGTTACAGGAAATACGATGCCGGGATCATGGAAGTTGGCCTTATTTATTCCGACGCGAACTCGATCCCACCAGGCCAACATGCGTTCCCACTAACAGGTCATTGCGTTGCTGACTGCACCTCAAAGGTATGGAAATTTCCTGAGAAAACTACCTTTCTTCCACATTAGTTGATTTCTTAATCAAGGCAAAACAGTATGGCTCAGTGTGTTTTCCAAATTTTTGAAACCGGACCAGAGTCAACCCTGCGTTGCGCAGTTCTCAACGGCCACGTTGCGCAGTTTCGCCCGATTAGACACGTTCTCTCGCGCGAACATTCACACTCGCATGCTCGAGCCGTCTGTGTCTCCGCCCATACAGCGTGCGTTGAGGATCTCTCGACGTGCCGTTGCGAACTGCGCAACGCAGGGTTGACTCTGAACCGGACCTGAGTGAATTATTATAATCATGTCAGTAGCTCATCAAAATACCATATGAATCCTATTTTGCAAAAAAAAAAAGAAAACGCTAGCAAGTCAAAACTCGCGTTGTCGTCAATGTGTTAACCATATCTTAGCAAACGATTGTTGACAATTTCCATGCAAATTTTTGGTTTCGTACTCTTCCTTTTAGCTCCAGTACTGACATTGATTCATCCGTAATAAATAATAATGCTTCGAAGCCTGCGCATAATAATATACCACGGACTTGAAACCTGCACCCCACGAAGAAACTATCCCCATCCATTTTTAGTATCTACGAAACTACGCCACAGCGACGTACCACGTTTAGTTTCCACAGAGGATTCACAGTATGCAAAAAAAAAGTTTAAAGAAGCATCCCTTGAACTGCCTTGTGCATGAGGTGCTGTCCTATGTCAGTTTGTGTGCGAACGGCACTATTCCGATCGGTTTCAAGCTTTTGATTCTCAGCGTTTCGTTTTTGGATATCTATCAGTTATTTTATATGAGTAACTAGAATGCCTCCGATGCATTTATTTGTGGGATCCCCGCTGCTTCCTGTTCTAGCAAGGTACACTTCACTCTACAACGAATAGTCAGGTTAATATTCGGCTCCAGAAAAGAAAACTCATTATGTCGGGGGAAGCATACTAGAAATTCCGATAAAATTTGTAGTAGCTGTGTGCGGAAGTGTGACTTATTACACAGTATTGCTCTAATGTTATACTGTTCGAGAAAACCCTTTCTCAACAGTGAAGCAGCAGGCATCGTAGAATATTATGAAGGAGCCTAAGCTCGCAACTATAATCTAAAAATGCCCAACAGCAATATAGGAGGCGGGGGGGGTGGGGAACTCTCCGCGCATGGTGCACATCAGCGCTTCTTCATCACACCAATGCGGCGGTATCCAACACCACACAGAGGAAGCATGTCAGTGCGCTTAAAATGGTTCGCAGCAACTTTACCCGTGAACTGTTATTCGAATTGATGTTTTTTTTTGTGCTCTAACATCGAAGACAGCTATTAGGAATCAGCATCTAGAACTGACACCAGTAGAAATGAGGCGCAGAGTTTCCGATCTCTGTTTGGTTCATAAGCTGGTTCAAGGTGCGTGTGGTTATGGTATTCAAGTTGACAAATTCGAGACCTAGGGGAGGCTCCATGATCTGGTTGACGCGCCCTAAAACTAATTTGAGGGCACGAAGCTTCACTTTTAGGGCCGGTAGTGACCATTTGAAGTTATTGAAGAATATACCCGTCATTCCTCGCTGGCGCAGTTCAAACGCCGTGTTGTTAAATTGCTGCTAAACAAAGGCTGTCCCAATCTTTTCTGAGACTGATTAACAGCTAAGCTATAACATGCACTGTTTTCGTTTGGTTCTGAGCAGGTTTTTGTTTGATAATTCACACCGCGTTTTTGTTACTGTCTCGTGTGCCTTCAGCATACGCAATAAATTTATCACTTATCAGCGAACTTTCGTCTCACAGGATGCCGCTGTTAAGAGGAATTTTACAGCTAAACATTCTTTGATTTCCCTTGTTGCGGAAACAAGCCCTTGTTCGCTGCCGCACCTTCTTTAGACTATACAATGCTCGTCCAGTTGGTTCGAAGTTCAAGCTCAGCGAGGGATACCTCGCTGAGGCAGACTCTTCTGTCATCACCCAAAAACTACTGCGAAATTTTTTGATAGGCTGAATAAGCTGTTTAATATTCAGTTGGAAACGTCCGTTTGACTGTGGAAAAAAGCGATTGAATAGTCTCAAGCGCGGAGGGAGAGAGTCGAATTTTATTGCCCTAGGTCTTGCGCATCGAATCGTACTTAAAGGCACTGGTCTTCTTACACTACTTATCATTTTATGTGCAAGAAAATCCTAATGTGATGAATGAATAGCACAGTGGACAGACCCACAAGTTTCGTACCGCTTGATCACGACTAATCTCTGTATTTCAGCTCCCAAGCGAAGGTATTTATATTTTCGGATCACAGCTTCACGCACACTTATCCGGCCGTAAACTGTTCACCAGTCACTACAGACAGGGAGTGAAAGTTGGTGAAATAAATAGAGACAACCACTACAGCCCCCACTGGCAGCATATCGTTCAAATACGCCCTTACGTGCACGTTTTACCGGTATTCATATTCATAACATTATAATATTTGGTTTTGGATATTTTAGAAATTTTCAGCATCCGCTCATTTTAATCTCTTTATTTACAGGGTGACGTGCTTTCAACGACATGTGTTTATGATACACTTCCCAAAAGTGGTGTAACTTTGGTGAGCCCTGTCGCTAGCTTTTTGGCATAACAGCATAACAGGGCATAACAAATTTCGAACACAACAGATCGTGGCATAACAGATTTCGCTTCAAGTGCATAAAGTAGGAGAACATGTTGCGCTTCACGGACCGTTCATGCCGCATTTCAAGCATCTTACCAGAACCTTACCAGAATCGATTTCGAGATATGTTCACGTATGTTGTGTTGAGCGCACTATTTGAAGCAACTCCTAACCGAATCACGCACGCCCTAGCTGTTCTTTTAATTTCAGCCTGAACCTAAAAGAGTTATTTTTGTTGCGCTTCGATCTGTGAACTTATACAGAGCCACATACCGGGCGAGCCAGATGCGACGTTTGATTTGCGATAGGTCCCCTTATCCTTGTCCACCGTGAGGTGGCAAAGCGATTGGATCTATTCTACAGAACACTGCCGGCTTTAAGCAAGCTCAAATCAGGAAAGATGTCGATGCCAGACTTCAAGCAGCTGTTCTCTATCATGAGAACCAACCTATTTACACAACCAAACGGCTCTGTGGTCATCACACTGAGGTGGTTTAGGTGCTTAGTTCATGGGGATCTCCGCCAGAGAAGTTGGAGCTCGGTTAAACGATTCCTCATGGCCTCACCGGTGATGGCAGAAACACGAAGCGAGTAGTGTCCGAAAATTTTTAGCGGCAGGAACTGCTGAAACAGCGTTGTTACTGTGGATCAGAAGTGACAGCTCGTTGCTGACCATGCGCGGAGGGGAGAGTAGTTGGATCTACCACAAAGGCTGAATAGTGTACAAGTTCAGCACAAGGATATAGTATCCGTCTGGTAGAGTGTACGAGGGTAGACCACTGAATCCCTTTCGTCCCAGCACTAAAGCTAGCGATGCCTGTTTTGATCAGCGGCGAACGCTTATGGGAAAGTTATTGTACAGCAACCATCGTTCGACTTTGTTGTTGCCACGAGGTTGATAGGTGTATTCGGCCAACGTTTCGACCTTAACGTCGTTGAAAGCCATACATGGCTCAAGGCTTTGAAATTGCCCGCTACCTCACCATTTCTTCTTTCTTTTCCTTCTGAAGTCATCTCAGGCACCTCGGGTGTTCAGAACATGAAAGATGAGCTCATCACAAATTTCACCGCATGAGAGTAAAATGCTACACTCAATTGGTATAGTACCGTAGTAGCGAGGAGATGTTACTTAGTAGCCCTTTTACAGTTGCGATGTCAAAGACGAGCACCTTCGCTCAATTGACAGTTTATTCACTACAACTCAAAAAGGAATGGCTGCTTCATAACAGCTGAGATCACATGTTTCGAAGATGACACAACTCGTAATTCTGAAGTCTTGCAAAATCTTACCAAATTCCGTTTTCGCAAGAAAGTTACTCACTCGCACAAGCGAAGGCAAAATTGCAGCCAAGAAAGATTCATTTGCTGCTCTGCGACACAGAGAGAAGAAAGTCTTCGTAAGTCAAGCTTTTGTCCTAATTTTTTCACAGTTATTGCTCATCATTGTTATGACAAAGGAGCAAATCTTCAATTGTTTAGATTAATTGTAGTTCTTTTTAATCATAATTTTTACAAATCAACACTTTCTTACTTGTTCGAAGTTTAATCTGGCTAAATTTTCAATTTTATAACACCACAAGATGTATAACAGCAATATGACAATTACATTGTCATTTTTTTACAAGAATGCTGGTTTGTGAACAAAACTTTCGCCCCAGGCGGGACTAGAACCCGCACCTCTCGCTTCCCGGGCAAGTGCACTACCAGTTACGCTACCGGGGCACCATTTCATTCAAACTCAGCTTTTCATGGTATACGTACCATAGCTTTCAGCACTCACACGTCTAACATAACATAATACGTCTAACACGTCTAACACTACATCGCCATTATATTGTTGCAACACATATGCACAAACTTTTCATGCTCATTGTGTGCCCTGAGGCCTTAAGCTTGGCATTTGGGCTCATCCACAGTTGCAGGACAGAATTTAAGTCAGAGCACAGCAATGCCCACGGCAGCAAAGACTCGTTGTTGTGGTGCAATTACTTGGTAAAAAGCTTCGCTTTGTGCTTTGGGCAACTATCTCGTTGGAAAATGACCCACTATGGGCAGAATTGCGAGCTTACGACCGATAACAGTCTCTATGTTGTTAAGGTAATAAGGTAATTTTGGAATCTGTTTTACCCTCGGTCTAACAAAGATAAATAACTCCTCCTCCACAGAAGCTGCCGTGACCATCGCCAAACCCACGGCATTCTTCAGTCGACAGCTGCTACCTTGGATGGTATCTGGTACCAATAAGACGTTACACGAACATGACTCCATCCTTCCCGAAGAGCACAGACCTCGAACCCTCAATCTAGATGGCGCTTGGTCACCGCTGAACGGTCCAGTTCTTGTGAGCAGAGCCCAATCAAGCCTCGCTTTGCGATTCCTAATGAAAATTAGCGCTTTCACACTTCCCTCACTATTTGCGGACTGGCAATTACCGAGGTATACAGACCAAAGCCAAGTTGGCGTTTCGTATGGTAGGCTGATATCAATATCAACTCTAATGATCTATGTGGATCAGCCCCTCAACAACAGATGCAGGTCACACAGAATATGATAATGAGCTTACAGTGTCTATTATAGTTCACAATTGTATTAATGTAACGTGGCCGTAGACTAGGAAATGAAACAGACTCGCTCACAGTATTGTAAGGAAATTTTATTCCATCTCCGAGTATAACCCTTCGAGACTTCTCTTTCGGTAGAACTTCTCGAGCCCGGGCACTTTTTCACAAGATCTCAGCGGAGAGCCTCCAAATGCGAACGAATCTGATAACTTTAATCACACCGCTGCTTCCTTGGTCGATTTAGAGAAGCTCAAGAGAACTACTAAAGAGTAATCATGATCCACTCACACTTACATTGTGCCATGATCACAAAAAACCTAATAGCTGTGAAAGCATAAAAGCATAAGTTTGTACATCTCATTTTCGGAACTGTGATCTTTAAATCGCCTTCATTCAGGGAGGATATGGCATCGATGAGGAAATGTGTGTTAACTATCTGTATTATTTTCCTGCATCTGAAGTAGAAGTGTGTAAATCGGCCGTGGCTAACGAGACTCTACATCGTTACTTTGAGAACATGTGAGTTTGCGGGTGAGAAGCATATGAAAGAATATCCATATTTAAGGAAAACTCTACTCCAAGGAAAATAAGTGAGTAAAAATGGAATGCTCAAAGTTGACTACAAATGCAACTTAAAGGAATCATACAGACCCATCTTTCATGATAATAGCGAAAAGAACAGAAGCTGCTTCCGATCTGGTAAACACTTCGAAAAAACCGGAAGTATTAGGCGTTCAAATTCTCGCCGAACATCTGCAAAAGTGTTTGCGGCGGGCGCTTCCACTTTGTTTGCGGGTGCATTCGCAAGGACTTTCTTTAACCTTTCCCACCATCAGCAAGAACATTTCTTTCTTCTAGTGCATCCTATTCTATCGATCGTTTTGTCTCTATTCTTCGAATACGAACGCTTTAACCCAATTCTTTCAATGCGTCGTTTTGAATGGCCGTCTTAAGGCGCATTTCTCTCCATGCGTTTCCTTGCTAGTGCCCGACCTACACGCAACGGTCCCCAGGGTGCGGTTTTCGTGGGTTTGCTTCTCTTCGAAAACTAAATCTTCTTGCTTGAAACTCTGTAAGTTGTTTCTAGTGATCACAGCTGATGTATTAATGTTTTTGTAATTATTTGTTTATTATTTGGGGCTCCTCGCGAACGCTTGCCTCGCACTTCGGAGTCCATTGTTTTTTTTATCGGGTGGTTCTGCGGCTCCCAACACGTGCCGATACAATAGCAGTCGTTGATCCCTCACCTTCAGCTGGATAGAGCACTTTGCATGACCGCTCTGAATTCCTCGTTTCTGACCCTGTCCAGTCCCGTCAGGCCGTAGGCCCACCACAGCATCCCCATCTCAGCGGATTGAAGCTGCCTTTCATGATTCTTGTCAGGGGGCAACACTCGCTGCCGTATAATAGAGGATTCCAGTGAACTCCCTCCCATTCATCCATGCAACGTTGACCCGTGCCTACACCGCCAGATCCACACTAACGTCTGCTGCCAGATCGCCCCCAAGGTATCACGATCCTCCACTCCTTCGATGGTCTCTCTATGGCGGTCCACTATCAGCTCTGTTCCTTCTTCAGAACTCGGGAACATAGTCTTCTTGACATTCAGCCGGGCCCACCTTCACCAGCACTTTCTGCCATTTCTGCATATTGCCGTGGACTTCTTCTCTGCTATCCGCTATCAGGGCGATGTTGTCAGCGTTGAGGATGGTCTTTAGTGGTCTTTCCATTAGCCCCTTACCGTGGCATCTAATGTTAGGAGAAAGAGGAACGGGCTCAGAGTTGACCCTTGGTGCACTACAACCGTGATGTTTACCTCCCTTTTCAGGGAATGAGAGGTGCATATGGCTGCCTTAGCCCCGCCTTACATATCCTTCACCAGCGAGATCAGGTGTGCTGGCACGTTTCGTTCCCTCAGCGCTCTCCGTAGTACTGCTCGAGGTAGTTGAACGCTTTCTCCAGGTTGGGAAAGCCAGATCGGAGAGTGCGCTTTTCTCCATACTTTTACATCACTTTTCTGGCGATGAAGGTAGCATCAGTTTCCCTTTCATGCATAAACCCGAACTGACCTTTTAAGTTGGGAGAAGCTCGCTTCGAGTCGGCCAGTCGCTCACACAGCTTCATTGTATGAGCAGTCACTTGATCCCGCGGTAGTTGGAGCAGTCCATCGCTTCACCCTTCTCTTTGAAGATCGGGATGATAGTGCTCGTTCTCCAGGCATCCGGCATCTTTCCTTCCGCACTGACGGTGTTGAGGAAGTTGGCGAGCCACCTTATGCCGTGCTCTCCAAGCGCACTCCATCTTCGATTAGCACCCCATCTGGACCTACCCCCTAAACCTTCATCTTCCCCGCTTCCCAACGAACCTCATCCTTTGCCCACAGTGAGATGGGGCCAGCCGTCGCCTCTGCTTGCGAGCTGTTCTTGTGGGGAAACTCCGCGTTCAAGAGAGCCCTGTAGTACTCCTCCCACCTCCTAATTATCTCAGCTGGCTTCCTCAAGATAGCGCCGTTCCTGCTCTTCAAGTTCTTCAGCACTCTGATGTCTTGGCTAGCCCGATGCAGGGCTTTAGCCAGTCTGGAGACGAGCATTTCTGCATTTCGGCTTTCCAACTTCTCATACGAGGGATTCATCCAGGTGTTCTTCGTCTTGGTGACTGCGGCCTTGGCACGCCTCCTGCAGCTATTGTAGGCAGCGAGCTACCCAAGGCTCCATGCCTTCTGTCAGCGCTTGTACGCTTCCTTCTTCCTCTCCACGATCGCTGGACTTCCTCTGCCAGGACCACACTGCCTTATCCCCCCTGATTACACCTCACGTCTCGCCCAGTGCCTCCTTAGCATGTCGCAAAATGGTCTCGGCCGCATCACTCCATGTACGCTGTATTGACGTTAGGATCTGGAAGACCAATTTCGATGACCCTTCGTTCCAGATCGCTCTTCTCCTCTTGGTGCAAGTTCCACCACCGGATTCTCCGATCGGTTCTAATCCTTGCCTTCTTGGGATCTATGGCAATGTCCGCCAGGAGGGCCTGTACTGCAGACGTGGCCATTCAGATCATTTGCTGTGGTGAGGTAATCGCCCTATGGAATCAATCTGATGGCATCGTCAGGCTCAGATGGAACTCGTCCTTCTCACTCGCATACTGCTGCGGTGCGTATACAGACAGTATTGTCCAGTACCCCTCCTTCGTGTCTATTCTTATGGCTATGATCCGATCGCTGATCTGTTCACAGCGGAGACATAATACTTGAGCACTCCGCTACAGCTATGGCCATGCCGTTGCGCTTGGTGTCCTCTTCATCGTGGTAGAGTTTAACACCGTCCCCAATTCCCCGGCCTTGACTTCTTTCCATCGCGTTTCGTGATGGCATAGGACCTGAATGTTTCTGCGTGTCATCAGATCAGCATCTCTCGGGACTTCCAGTTAACGACCCTACGTTCAGAGTCCCAGTTCAAATTACCTTCTTTGGCCGAGGCCGTTCCATCCTCGGTAGCCCTCGCATGCTGACCACAGAACCGTGTGACTTCCTAGCTTCATTACTGATACTTTGGCAACATTTAGACATGGTTGTTGTGAGTGGGGTATTCATCAACCGGCCTGCCAACCTGATCCTGACGCTAGTACTAAAACCATTTTTGCAATTCCTGCGGGGCACGGTTTCAAGCCTCGGCCGGGCCCGAACTCACGGTTTTCCAGGTTTGCAGACCAGAGTCCACACTCTTAACCACTCGGCCATCCCTGCCCATGTTCAGAAAATGATAGGGCTAACACTAACATAACATTAATAATCGACCGCATGAGATTAATCCATTATAAGGGATTAAGTGACATCATGCGTAGAACATAGCGAATGGTTCCATTATTTAGGCATGGCATTCGTGACAGAGGTCTCCCCATACACAAAAAATTTGCAAAAGTGGAGTGGAATGTGGCAAATGTTCTCTCGCTGAGAGAGCTATATTCAGTTTCGCCTCTCAATGTGCACTGCTATAGAAAAAGCGGAGTGCTTTTCCCTGTGAGTCCCTGAAAGCTCTACTATCTGACTTCATTCATTTACCTGTAACGCTCAATTTCTAGCAATTACAGAATCATTTCCATAATTGGACAGCAGTTCCGCAACCACGCACATTCACGTCGCCGTTAACGAAAAGTAGAGATGAAGCAGAGTGCGCAGCTCTGAATGATTAATTGCTTAAGGAATCCTTCACGGAAAAATCATGATTCACCTTCAGCCATAATTCGCTGTCTTGAGACCCATCATCCACGATAAGAAAGAAAAGAACTGAAAAATTGCATTTGTTTCGCTAAAAAAAAACTCGAAAAACCGGAAGGGCTGCTACGCGTTCAGAGTAGCGCCGCACATCTGTCACAAATGCTGGCGACGGGAATGCTTCAGCATGGTTCTTGGAGTGCGTTCACGAGAAACTCTTTCTGGCATTTTGAATTATTGCGTCAACCCACATTTCTACTGCATCCTATTCTACCGATCGCTTTGTCTCCAATCTCCAAAATCGCAGGCTTTAACCCGATTCTTTCATTGCGTTGCCTGATACGTAGCAGCCCCAGTGCGGACTTATTCCATGCCCCGCCTGGCTCCGCCCCAATTACCTTCGATTGTCCATAGAATGGATTTTCGTGAGTTTGTTTCTATTCGGAAACCGAGCCTTCATGCGTGAAACTTTGTGTATTGCATCTACTGATCACAACTTATACATTCATGTTGAGAAAGAATGCAAGAATTTTCCGCGAAGGATCCCTTGAGATATTCCATTCATAGTTTGGCAGCTGCAAACTCATCTGTACTCACATCGCTCCATTCTTTGTAGCACGCAAATCGATCAGCTTGTATGTGAGAAGTTCAACATCACAATGTACAGAATTCAAGAGAGTCAATGGGGTGCTTCACTCGGGGCGAGCCGTCGCGATAACCAATTCGAACGACTCCCCCGCACCCAAGGATGTCTCAATAGAACTATTCTTGTTATGGCCATGTGTAGGTGAATCATATTTATTTGCAATAAAATTTCCAAAAAAAATTTACGTTTCTTCCTCTCCATAACCTCATTTCAACACGTGACAGACGACGTGCGCCGCTTGATAGCGCATGCAGGGTCAACCGTTACGTTGGACCGATATTGGTTCGACGTTGGACCGATGTTCACCGCTCTCCGCGCCGGCATTCACTCTCGCCACCCGCGAGCCGTCCATGTCTCCATGCGTACGTTCACTCTCGGCATTACTCTCGTCGTCGCGTTGGACTTTGTCCAACGGACGGTTGACCCTGAGCGCACGATTATATCCTTTGTACATTTGATGTTTCTAATAATCTGAATGCACCCCTGTATACTCTCAGCAATTAGAATCAATGTTTATTCCCCGGGCCTAAATAGCTGGGTTTTCACACACTCACCATGTTCTTACGACTTTGTTAGCGCACATGGTCTGGAAATGAATAGAAGACCCGAATTCATCGTTTTTGCCCTAGTTTAAAGGGCGCAACGCCGTCAACGCAACGGTAGTTCTTCGGGCAGCTGCATATTTGGAAACCTCATCTCAGTAAAAGGAGTCTTCCACTGAAAAAGCTCTGCCTCCATTACCACAGAAGGAAAGGAGTTGATTACCACAGGAATGAGTTGAGGAATGGATCTCTTGTACAATGGCCTCATCAGAGCTACAGTTCATAAGCACTGATAGCCCGTTTAGCGATCTCTAGCTTAACACTGTTCAAGACACCACTAATCAAACATTTCATTGCCTAAATCTTACATACAATAACCCATGTAAAGAGAGCAAAATTAGAGTTCATCACATTCAATACTACTTTGGTTAGCTAGCCTATAAACACATGTGGAATTTACAATGTTGTCCATAGCAGCAATTTGCTGGACTTCACCAGCGATACTGCTTCTGTTTCCAGAACAGAACATGAAAAAGAAATTCCATTGAGCGAAAAAAGGCTGTTGCATAAGAATTATGAGACAGCCGTAGCATTCTCAGGGAAACAAAACCACATCAAAAATTGATATTCTTACTGTAACTGTTCTCTAAAAGAAAGAAACTCACGGAAAATACAATAACATACGCCAATATTTGGTTTATCATTTTAGAAAGAGCATGCTTTTGTATATAACAAAAAAACTCTCAATAAACCTAGGCAGAACAGACATCACTTGCTTGAACTAAAAAATGTAGTACATGAGTGAACAAGCTCAAATATTCTCCCCAAATACAGCTAAATAACAAATGAGGCTCTCCAGTCCTGTGCGACGTCGAGCCCTCTATTCATAATTTTATAAACTCGAAAAACCACGTGCATCTTTTAAATCGATGTTCATTTATGTGGCGCTTGCTTGACGCTTTTCTGCCGAGGAAGCGGTTCCCTATGTAATCTAAACAATTCCAAATTGTAACAAACAACTTCATAAACTCTTTTACGCGTAGTTATGAGCAAGTTCCTGAATAAATGAAAAATAAAGGAATAGGTATACAAAATGTACCAACAGGATAACAACTCGCGTTGAAACGACTGTGCAGAAGAAAAGGGAAATATTGCGTCAGGAATTGCACGTCGTTTGAACTCCTTCGGAGAGTTCTCGACAGCCTGAGGAAGCAAGGCGAAAAAGATGCACTGGGAAACATGACAATGCCTAGGTTCGAGATATGTGCGTTTAGTGTATTCATTCTCAAAATGCATCAGAGGTAAAAAGTAGATGGTATAATGTTTTTCACAATCGACATGATTATGAAAGGATTTATGTCAAGCATTGCTCTCGTACGGTTTCAGTGTTCGACGCAACAGCTCGTATACGGTGTTCGTAATACCCCAAGCCAGTAAAGATCGAGTGAAGTTGAGATGGACCTGTTAAACAGAGCAATTGAAGAATGAAGACGAACAGTATCCTAAAGGCGGATGTTATGAAAAATTGGATATTGTATAGGGACAAAGGGACGGGCTCCATGGAATAGCTCACCAGCGGTGCGGATGCGAGCGCGTGCAGGTGACGACAATTTGACGTCACAGCAGTGGCGAGGGCTTGAGCAAGAAAGGCGCCCATACTTTATAACATTACATCTTAGACACGATCGACTCTGACTTCACTGTGTAGTGAGTAAAAGTAATAACGGGGAAAGGACTTACTGAAATCAACTTCGAATCAACTGCGCACTTATTAGGTTTTAAATTGGAGCCGTTCATTTCCTTCACATTCGCAAAAAATTGCTAGTTTTCCAGGGCGAAAATTGTACCTGTGTACAATAACATCTTTGCCCACTGCACTTGATTGTACTAATGAGAGTGCCAGCAAACTTTCTACCATCCAAGCGATTCGACAACAACGCTTTCTATCGCACCCTCTCGTCGCCGTTTTGTCGCAGCTGTGACGTCATCTGCACCGCTCGCGTCCACGTCGCGGTAAGCTTTTCTATCCCCCCCCCCAAAGGAACGTCAGGCCCCAATAAAGCAAGAACTAGCTCGTGTCGTGGCCAGAGTCAACCCTACGTTGCGCAGTTCGCAACGGCACGATGAGAGATCCTCAACGCACGCTGTATGGGCGGGGACACAGACGGCTCGAGCATGCGAGTGTGAATGTTCGCGTGAGAGAGCGTGTCTAATCGGGCAAAACTGCGCAACGTGGCCGTTGAGAACTGCGCAACGCAGGGTTGACTCTGGTCGTGGCACCTGCTGCGACCTAGCGCAACCTCACAGTAGCGATGGCCAACTCAAAGTAGACCCTGATTTGTTGAAGGTGAAATTCATCAACTACAACAAAGTTGGACTGTGGCCGTATGTGGTACGTAGTGTTGTATTAGGGATGCTTCGGCTCGAATCAGCTTTTTCGTTACTTCAATTCTTACAGTGGCGCTCAAGAGTCTTCGGTGAAACACTTTTTGGCGGTAACTTTTTCCCTGCTAGATCAAATCAGTGCAAATTTATATGTTTTGAAGGCAAGCCTTGTACATATCGTGATCTCCAATGTACTTCTTCACAACTAAATTTTCTTGGCGTTGATGTCTTCCAACTTCCGTTTACCGCATGAGTGTTAAGCAAAACTAGACTTGGACTAGCCAAACTTGTTCTCCTCAACAGTCGCTTTCAAAAGGTAATGATCAAAAGAGCTTCATGTTTGCAATTTTCCCCTCAAAGAGGTGTGTATGTCCGCAAATCATTAACAAGAGGAAAGAATGCGTAGGCGTGAAGTATTATACGTTTGTCTGGTGTCACTCGCTTGAATCATACTGGCAAAAATGTTCTGTTAACCAATCGCAAGAGTAGTCCTGGCACGAATGAAATGCAGTCTGATAACACATTTGATTCACTTGTTTCTCTCAATGGTGTCCTCTGTTTGATGTTGCTTACTAAATCACTCCCTGATACTATTTCGGGGAGGTAATCGTTCAAAAAGTGTGTCATTTGTTTTTTGTTCCGCTAAGTTTGCTCAAGCGCTACATCAATTGCATAGCCTGACGGCAATTACTTCGGCCAAATATCTATACCTGAATCGTTAGTCCTTTTGGAGCGTAAATTAAAAAACAGAGTTAATTTTGTGGGTTTCAGGCGGTTCCCGTCCTTTTTTCTCATCACCTCATCAAACAACACTAAACTTTTATCGCTTAGCGGCAGCCAATATCCTATAACATCCGCCTTCAAATAGCAACATAATAAATAAATCATCTCCAACTCTCTTACCCCAAGATACAGCATTCTGATAGACCTCTGGCGTTCCTGCCAAACTTCACGAAAGACAGAAAATGGGTTTTGAAACGCGACACCAACCTGCAAAAGAGGGCAAAACCATCTCAGAATTCAGCAGTGCTAAGGAAAGTGCATTTACCTTACTTTGCATGTGGTTTTTAACGACATTCATAGGAAAAAATATGGTCGAAATCGATGCGCCTAAAATTGCACCGGACATGAAATCAGCAACTAGCTGTGTGGCAGTTTGGTTTCGAAATGGTCTAGCGTCAACGACCTGAAAATAAATCTCAATGTTTGAAATGTAAGCGCAAATACCTCTGACTAGATGAAATAAAAGACTGAAAGACCGTTTTCTTGAATGGCTCCTTGAGGGTGAAGAAAAGTGCATTCGATAAACTATTCCTTGCGAGTACAACGGAAACTCCTCTATAATACTCTCGATATCCGTGAGCCTGAAAACAGTAGTACTTCTTTTGCTCTCGCTCCTATTCGAACACCAAATATCGATGAAGTAGTCGTCCTCGGGAAACGTATTAGGAATCTAAGAAGTCCCATCGTTTTGTGACGCTTCACTATTAAATGCTTTATTTTGCTTTGTCTCTGAGCGATCTGCTACCATTCCATGTACACTTTTAATGCGCTTTTCTAGCTCTTCCTGAGAACACTTATCCTAAACACTCGTCATCTTTTTCAAACCTTAAGTACAGCACACCCAGAAGCGAGTTTGGACTTTCTTTCACAGCTCACCTAAAAACGTAAGTGGGTCAATATGTTGGAGATGCACTTGGCTCAGATTCCCAACAAATATGTTATAAAGCAGCTGTTGAAAGTTCTTGACAGTGGCGACAGCCTCCAAGATGATGAGGGTGGGGTCGGATTCGCATGCTGCCAATGACTAGTCAATATTTTTGATCGAAGCCAACGCGCAAAGAACTCTTAAAAAGTTTCTACTGAACAGGTTGTAACCGACTTGTGACTTCCAATGTATGGGAAGAGCTGGAAAGTCCAAAAACCTCGATGAGGGCGTGCCGCAAAAAAACACCATATTAAAGTGTTGCCCCCGTTTTCTGGCTTGTTTAAAGGGATTCTTCGTGGAAAATTCTTGCCTTCTTTCTTGACACGAATGTGTCAGTTGTGGTCACTGGAAAAAACACACAAAGTTTCACGCTTGAAAATTCGCTTTCCCAAAAAGTACCAACGGTAGGGCTGACTCTGGTTGGGACCGCTTTTTAACGCTCTTCCACCAATGAAGCTCAGTGACGTCATCGAAACCGCACCGCCATCCATCGCGACCACTGCCTTTAATTTGCAAAACGATATTGAATGGGCAATCAATGGTAAATTTACGCAGTGCTTTAACTGAAATAGAGCTAATCTGTTAGAAAGAGTCGCCAGAATATAACTTGATGTTTTAGGTTATGGTAGACCGACTTTAGCGTAAGGCTTCTGATACTCAGCGGTGAAACGCAGTCAAGTTGCATGTGCGGGAAAAGGAAATTAACGTGACGGTCAAAGGGCACGAAGCAGGCACTCGAGGAATTCTCTGCGTCCACGTCCGGCGGTCTCTCCCCAGGGTCAAGCGAGGCCACGAGGAAAATTTGGAAATACGACCCCCTCCCTCCCTCAGCCAGAAGCCGAAGTCTATGAAACGAACCTCTTCAAAAGCCGAACTATGAAATCGCTATTTAATCCTCCACCAAAACTGTTCATAAAAAAGCCCTGCTACTCCACCGTTCACGGAAAAATCCATTTGAGAAGTACAAAAGTGAAAAAGTCAAACAATAGTCATTCCTATTCAACGAGCAAACGAGAAAGGGAGCAAAAAAAACGTCAAACTAGTCACCAAAAATGCCATACTATGACAACATCTCTTCGTTATTTATTCCCTTCGCAAGATTTATCAAATTTTGGTACTACACAGTGTATGCTCTCAATCTACACCTCCCCCTTTCAGTTAAAAGAAGGCTTGTACCCTCCTTAGCCAAATCTGTGCTGGCTGATCTTTGGCGTTGACCGTGGACCAGCTTATGCACTATTGAAATTTGAACAAATATTCAAACGATTATAACTTTCTTCAAATATGACGAATTTTCAATCTGAAAGCAGATTTGGAAGTTTCGTGAAGAGCTCTTTCTAATCGTACTTGAAATTACAAAAAGTTATGAGAAATAATAAATTTAGATCAATTAACGAGGAAAACTTATGGTGAGCACGAGTTTTTACACTTTCCGAACCCATAATTTGCTTCGTACTCGTCAAATCCGAAAAGTTAATACGTCAGACAAAACTAGAAGATTTTCTCTATCAAATGGTTGCCAAGGCAGCTTTATATGCCCAGTATCTAAAAATGGCCACGTTTAGGATTTTTGCAAAATTAACGAGGAAAATTCGTGACGAGTGCGAGTTTTTACGCTTTCCAAAGCCATAACTCCGTTGAAACTCATCCAATCTAAAAAGTTAATACGTCAGACAAAACTACAAGATTTGCTCTTTCCAATGGTTATTGAAACTACTAAATACGTCCACTATTTAAAAAATGGCCACGTTGAGGATTTTTGCCCGAGCACCGCCGAAAGGTACTTTTTTGCTGCATTAGCACTATTCCAACGACTATAGCTTTCAGAGGCGATCACGTAAAAGTGGGAGCAGATTCGAAATCCCCGTGCTTTTCGATTTCCAAAACGTGTAAAACTGTTCAGCGTGTCTCAACTTTGACGATTACATGCTTGTGAATTTGACGCTTAAGGTTACGTTTCTTGTTGAATGGTGTTCTCCTCCCTGTAATTTCATATGAACCCTTTCAGAATCCTCTGTTCTATCCTAAATTGAGATTGTTTCTCCAGAGAGCCGTAGCTGCAGCGCGTAACCAGCTGGACCCACTCTGGGATGCGCCGTGTGCTTCACATCCCTTCGGGTTTGAGGACTCACTTGAAAGAGAATATCCCTTGGAAAAAGTGCGATTTTCGGATTCTTAAACTTGTGTGGTAATAAAACACTGAAGTAACCAAGAATTCCAAAGCGGACACCTTCAAATCACGAGACTTCGTGTGGGCAGAATCAATTGTTGTTGGAAATACTCGGCCTGGCATCGACTCGATCCTTGATGTTTGTCCTCTGATGGTGATCCTACTGCGTCAATCTGGCCGATCTCTTCCTCCCAGCGGACCAATACGACCCCCCCCCTGTGATCTGTCGAGGATTCCTCAACACACGCTTGACCCTGTCTCTCCCTGGCCTTCATCTTAGTGCTATCTTAGTTGGGGAGGGGGAGGGGCACGCAGCGACGCGGCGCTCTGTCGTTTGCTCCTCCAAGGCTTAGTCCCCGATGGCGCGTATTTCGAACCTCCCACGTAATTTCGAAATAGTAGCTGCCCCTGGAACTAAGCCCTGGATCAGCAGACGAAAAGAGCGCCGCGCCGCTGCATTCCCCCCCCCCCCGAATTAAGATAGCCCCTCATCTTCCGCCCTCCTCCCGTCGTACTGCTCAGGGCGCCCCATCCCCTGGGAATCCGCCTGATGTTGTTTTTTTGCGTGTTCTGTTGTAATTTTTGTTATCGCGAGTAGATTCTTTTTTTTGTTGATCAGTGACTCAACTCTGATTCCTAGTGTACCGATCGATCGCAAGCGGTTAGTAACGGCAATATTTCTGGGCGTTGTTATTGTGCCAATCAAGACCTAATCCAATGACCCACACAAATTGAATAGTGAGAAAGGCAAAATGTAGCAGGTGGGTCTGGAAGTACGGATCGGAGGTAAATTAAAAAATAACAGGCTCTTCTACACGACGAACCACAATTAAAGGAACTCATGAGAAATTTTAAAGTTTACTATTACCAAGACAGGAATCGCTCAAGAGTGATGAGAAAATGGAAAGCTCAATTAATTGTTGAGCAATGACACTACTTACCCTCAAGGCCCGCAAAGTTTGCCCAGTATTCTTGAAGTGATCGTGGTACGCTGAAGTTTGAAGAAGCACTTGAACTCTTTCCAGTGGACAGAGAGCTGCTTCACAAATTCCAGCTGCAATATAATTGAAGAATGACCGATAAATAGAAAATGACAGATGCTTAAGCTGGCATGCATGCTTTCCAGCATTACAATCATCTGAGAGACCAGTACACACTACTATACTAGTGGTATCAGAAATGAAAAAATAATTATTGAAGAAAACCTTGCCGAAAAATGCTGCTTGAGCGTGACAAATGCTGAACGATGTGTTTGGTGGAGAGTGAGGGCAGGTCAAGAAAGACTGAACGAAATGAATCGTTAGAGTTCATTTATGGAGTAAAAACTGAACAGAAACTAAAAATTAAGAATTGGCAGAGTAGCTTCAGCCACAGGGGAAGCTGATGGACCTGACACGAAAATAAAGACCTCTTTTGACATGCGCCATTTCGGACCATCTTTGCGCTGAAATTACGGACCTCTTTTTTAATCAAATTCGGTAAGAACTTGCGTGCAGGGGTTATTGGTGGTCCTTAAAACACAATAGTATCAGTGGCCAGCACCGAAATGTTGTTGTCTAGCATTGAAAAGGCCGTGTTCGTTGACAGAACCATCTACAACCCCTGTATGCGAGTTATTACCGAATGTGTTGAATACAGGAACCGCACCTTGTTGGTGCAAAAATGGTGCAAAGCAGCGCCAACGCTAAAACGGACATTAATTATCGTTACCGTGACCATGAGTTACCCCGTGGATGAAGTTTCGTCAGAAGTTTTGATCCTGACATAATGGCATGTATCAAGTCAAATTTTTAATTGTAAAGTTTCCTCCAATGCAGATGAAGTGAACAAAGATTTCTTCTGTACAGGCTGGGGCAAAATTACTGGTGCACCTACATATAATGGATCTTTTTAAATTTTCTCGCCTGGTTCTTTCATGATGTGTAGCATGAATGCACTGCTACTAATACGCCCTGATCACAGAGTGGTCAGCTTTCCACTTTGAGAAGCCCATCAATCAACCCCAACAGAGCCCACGCAAAACCGTTCTCAACGATTTTTAAATTCTCAAATTTTGGTCAAACAGCATTCGAACTCGGTATTTGTTCGAAATCATGGGCGTGTCTTTACTGTGGAAAGGATTACGAATTTTTGTTTGAATTTGTGAATTCAACAGATGGTTTGCTGCAGGACACTGACCGAGAATGGTCCAGGAACAGTGCACCGAGCAAACCCTCAACTTCATCAGTTATGACTCTCCGCTCGGGAAAGACCGATATATTTCCAAGTATTGGCTACCCTAAAGGGAAAAGCTGCTCTAACAATTGGCGAAATTTGAACCCTCTCATAACGGCACTTTTGGAACCGTGGGACAAAATTGATGAAAAACACCTTGTGTCACATGCCATGCGCACGCCAAATTTTTGAAGAACTGTGTAAAGGCTAGAGGCGATCATTTTGCAAACTGTTAATATGTATTGAAATGTCAGCTTTTCTACAAATAATATACGTGATTGGGATCGACTCCTGAAAGCTGGTCTCGAAATGTCAACAAAATGTTGCTGCGCCAGTAATTTTGCCTCACCCTGCACAAGGTTGTTGGAACAAATAATGTATTAGGTTGTCTCATAATTAGCGTCGCTTTTTTTCAAACAAAAAGTTTTCTTCTGAATCTTCAGGCTTTCACACATAATTCATATACCATTCGACCAGGGTTTTCAAATTTTAGGTCTGCGAATCGGGAGGTCCAGCAGACAAAAATTGACCAAACCGACAACTAGCTCCAACTTTATTTTCCTTAGGGAGAAATCAATCAATGATGTACCCTCTACTTACTCATGACCTCTTCTAAACATTCCATCCTTAGGTTGCCGGAAAAGCTTTGCCGTGTTTCTCTTTGAATTGGCTGACGGATAAGTTATAGCAATTTTTTAAATAAAATTGTTCCTCGTAAACACCATTGTTTCATATCGAGTGGTGTTCCTTTTGTGAGCACTTCTTCTGCTCTATTCGCCCACTTGTTTCGCTTTTATGCTAGTTGGGAATTGGTTCGAATTTTAGGTGTTTACGGATAAGGAGTTTGTCCACGAAAGTGACCGCTTTCTTTGAAAAAAAAAAAGATCCCTGAGAAGATGAGAAAATCAACCAGTCGCACATTCCTAACTTAGTCATGACTTGTTCTTTGAATTCCACTAGTTTTTCAATGTCTCGGCTATAAAAAATTTTTGACACAGATTTCAGGTAATGGCGCTCGACCGTCGAGTTCTGGTTGAAAAACCAGGTCTGGAAAAGAAGCGACGCGACTTGTTGGGAAACCTAATAGTGTAATGTTTAAGAGAGGTCATGTATAAGTATAAGGTACATCATTGATTGATTTCTCCCAAGAGAAGACTAAGTTAGAGATAGGTGTCGGTTTGGTCAATTTTTGTCGGCTAGACCTCCCATTTCGCACGCTTGAAATTTGAAAATCCTGCAACAATGGTTGAAGCGAAATATGGCATCTTGTAGAGCAGAAAATTTTCTTTCGAACGGTATAAAACTCGGCGTAAAAGTTTGAGGATCTAGAAGAAAACTTTTTGTTTGAAAAAAGCGACACTACTTATGATAATATAACGATTTCTCCCATTGTCAAAAAAAACCCAGAAAACATGAACTGTTTACAAAAAGTTCTTTCAAAGTACGTCAGCCATTTATGGCCGACGATATTCCAAATAGATTAAATATTATCATACGAGAACAGGAATTGGTGAGAAATAATTTGAGAAGAAAGAATTGAATCTTCGCAGTGATGTTATATTTGACGTTCTTATTTATGAAGCAACATTTTTACGTTTGTAATGTTGATAAGATACCGACGAAATTTTAGAATTGCTTTGTTTCGAAGTCTCAAGTTGATCTGAGGTGCAATAAACAATGTGAGACCTCAAATATTTATTGCGAATGATTCTTAAGCTTGCCAAGCAGCAGACGAGTCGGTTATTATACTTTAACACATTAACTGACTTCAAAAACATCCACTCACCTATTCCATTTCAGGCTCGACAAACGCTAGACACCAAAGGGTGTGGTTCACTAGGACCGAAAGCTACTTTTTCGAGTTGCGCGAAACACTGTTCTCTGCAAGAACTCCAGGTCAGCGGTCACTCATGATCAGCGGTGCACCTGAGTTTCCTGCAGCGAAAAACGTTTTGCGCTGCGAAACGCAAAAAGTCGCTTTCTGTCCTAGTGAACCACATCCGACACCAAAAGCTTGCCATTAAAGCCCTGGACTGCAAAACTTTTGTACTTACATATTTTTGCAACTTTTTTTTGTAAAGGCTTTAGTCTTTCGCAATAAGTAATTGAAAACTCACACGGTTTATTACACATCTAGACTTATGAAACAGTTGAGACTTCCAAAACAACACCACTTCACAAGGAAACACAACATGTGGTAACTCACTTGAAACTCATCGTAGAGACCAAACATTAGGGCACGTGAAGAGGTCCTCATGATCAGAGGTGGAAGGAGTCCACGGTAAAGCCTGCGAATTCCTTCTGATTTCACCTGGAATGATACAGGTGCTGAACGCACAGATACAAAGTGCTTGTATTCTCCCAATGACACCTCACTAATGCTTTTAAAAGTTATAATTAGTTATGACGGAGGCTTTTCAGTCACGAGTCGGATGCGGGCTCAGGCAGCTACTATTGCCACCACTTACTACGACGATTTGAACATTGCGCTGCCCTTATTCGCTCCAAAGCATTAGTTGTCAGAAAAGAGATTTGAACGCTATAAAAATTGCGAAGCCCGTGATTTAGGCAGAGGCAATTCATTACTGTGCCTTGAAGGCATATACCAAGATGAACTCAAATGGATGGCATTTTTCGTAAATATGAGATAAGGAGAATCTCAAGTGAGAACAGGTGCGATTCTCTCACTCTAAAACGTGACCTCAATTCAAAGACGAGAAGGACGCCGGACCCCCATCAGTTTACCCTCCCCTCTCCTCCCCCCATCCCCCCACCCCTCGTACCTCATATGGACTATCGTCATCGCGGAATGTCTGCGCTATCAAACTCTTTTCAGAGAATGAGTGCTTTAGCGGTTGAAGTTCTCATACCCAAGCCTGATAGCCGTCTAATTGCCCCACCTTCAATAGTAGGAGCAAAAACCATATCTAGGCAAGGATAAAATGTGTCAATGAGCTGGTTCATTTGATCTTTTCAATCCAGTAAGAGCTGTCGCACTGCTACATACGCTGCGTCCCATAATTATAATTCCACCCATGAATTTCCCAAAATCTCACGAATATTGATGTTTTAGAAAAAGTGTCCAGAGGGACAATGTGGTAAATATAAATGCTAAATCTCCAATGTTCATCAACTTTCGACTATAATATTCCAGGAATTTTTTCTAAAAATCTCCGTGCAAAGGCCACTGGTCGAGAAGGTTGTCGGACTACTTGCACTCAGCCCTTTACCGCCTCTGCGCTCTCTAGCGGGTCCCTCTTCACTTCAAGGCTTGGTCCTAGGGCATTCTCTAATCGTCTGTGCTCTAGCCATCGCGGCAGGACCATTGAGGAAAGATCAAGTAGTCCGTAAACCCAACCAAACAGAAACATGAAATAACAATTCTGATGAGGATGCGGAGCGGCCGCGTGATATGATGACCGCACCTGGCTGGATAGAAACATTTGAAGGATAATTAACAATCGAACTAACTTGAGACCATGCCAACCTGGCTGAAAAGCCATGCAACTGCTGTCGGAATATTATTTTGTTTGAAGGAAAGAGCATACAGGTTTCGACACATCCTGCTCCCCATCCGCACAAAAAATCAACGTGTTGAAATCCTGAAGATAAGAGCTTAAAATTAAAAGATAACACATGATAGGGCAGACGACTTCCCACATTAATTGCGAAAACTTCCTAATTTTCACATCATGACAGAATATAATAGGTTGTAGGGAAAGTTCTCGCGGTTTTTGACACATAGTCAGTTATACCTAATTTTAATCAACAACAAAACATAATTAGGGAAACAAAGTCAATTCGACCATCACGTTCTACACTCTTCGCCATTTTTCGGGCAGACTTTTGATGCCTTCCGCAAAGAACTTTTCTGGCTTCGATTCAAAAAGGTTGCCTCAACTCAACTTAAAGCGTGCTTCGAAAACCGCGAAGAACTTTCGCTACAACCTAATAATTTCAAATCAGCATGCGAAGCTAACAATCCGTTCATTATGAAACGTTTTCGGCTCAACTTGTTAAACGTTGACAACGAGTGAGCAAACGTCGGCCTTGGCTCGTGACAGATTGTTACCCAAAAGGGTAACTGCTGGCATGGCTGACATCAGAAGGTGAAAGTTCGACAGTCTTTAACAAAAGTAAATGTGAGGAACAGCTCGCGAATATACCAAAAGTGGTATTTGTGGAGTGGCGGTGCGGGTGTTTATGAAGAATTCTGGTCCCTTCAGTTCATTTCCTATTGAAAGAGAAACCCGATCTCCAGCCAAATAGTGCATACCTTCGTGGCACTTTGCTAAGGCCGATGTCAGATGTTGCGAATGAGCGGATTCCGCTAGGAACTCGGCTAACGATTCCAATCGCGTTGCACAAGCGAATCGGAACTTTGCGCCAGCGAGTCGAACGATGTACCAGCGAGTCGCCACTCAAGTAACCAGCGTACTCAATATGGGGACCCACACGTTAAAGAAAAAGCCCGCCACTCCAAACAGTGTCACGTGACTAGTGTACCTGTTGAAAAGTGGCGGGACTTCGCCGCGCGACAGCTGGACGTTTGAAAGTGGCGGGCATTCCTTTAAACGTTGGTCCCAGCCACTGATTGAGTCGCCTGGTACCTAGTTCGTACTCGCTGGTACAGTCGTTCGACTCGCTGGCGCCAAAGTCGATGCTGTGCATATCGTTCGATTGCTGTGCGCAGACGCCTCGATCTAGCGCCTCGCTAGCGAATCGCTCGATTCGCAAACTATGACATCGGCCAAAGAACGGCTCTTCTTCCAACGAATTTAGGGTTCTCATGACTAAAATTCTAACTAAGCTATTTGGGACACCTTTTTCCGGCTACTGGGGCGAGGACTTGCATCTTCCTTCATCACCCGTTCTCGACCGATGGACTTTGAAAGGGACATTTTGCATTTTTGACCAGTCTCTGTCCCAACTAATCACATGGCTCTACACCATTTCCCAATAAAGCTGACTTTATAGAGTAATCGTTGACTAGAAATTTACCTACAAAAACATGACGTCCAATAATCGTATCTTTATTCTGCTAACGTGGTTTTCAGGAAGACACTTTATTACGACGAGATTTCTCTGAAAGGCTTCAACGTGGGTCCGAGGTTTGAGAGATCTTTGAACCGCGAAACGCTTCCACCCCTCAAGGATATTAACCAGAAACCGAACGAGAGAGATAAACTCACCCGGTCCATCACTGCAAGAGCGTTTCCGCAAAAGCTTTGCTAGCGTTGCACTGCTCGTGTGCTGTTACACCAAGTGAGTTCATTTCCTTCGCTGAGTTTTCGGTTGATCTCTCTAACAATAAGGTCCCATCAAAAAGCCTAGCGCTAGGCGCTTGGTGGATTAGAGGACATCGCGTCACTTTGAACGACGTTTAGGCCTTTGAGAAGGACGACCTCGTCTAACGTCACGTCGTTATTCATACTTTTCAGTCACGCAGTGTACTCACCGAGTTTTCAGATGTTATTATACACAATAAATTACATTCGTGGAGAGAAGAAATCGTAAAAGCCTCCACCGACAAGCGTGAAGATTTCAAGATCCTAGTCTTACTGAGATGCATTTCGGAATAAAGTTCCAGTGAAGAATGTGTGCAATAAAAAATTCAAAATTTCTGCTGTCTCCTGATGGTGTAAAGCTTGCTTTTCTTGGCTTGCGTCATCAGATCGTCAATAAGAGTTTTTGATGCAACCGTCCGTGCGTTGGAAAAACAGATCGAAATCTTAATTGTTGCCCGTATAGGTTTCCTGCTTGGGCCCTAAGGGTTTGCCAGCTTCTCGCGAGCGTCCAATCCAATGCTACCGCTTGGAGGCTTCCAAAGCCCAGAGAAATGAGACCTATTTTTGTTGCTGCCATATAACGTACCCATAAGCTTACAAAACAGCACAGTGCCCACAAAAAACCCACACAGAGATCTGAACCGGTTATTCTGAAGTTCAAGTTGTATTTCGATAGGATAACTCAGAGACATCTTCGTTATGGAGAATCATGCGGAGTGGAGAACTGGAGAATTATGGAGAATAAACGCCAGTGAGGAAGTACGCAAGAGCTCATACAAGCAACCCTCGAACACGGAAGTGAAACGATGGTCAGCTTCCTTGAAATCCCAATTTCAGTAGGCTATACAGCTACTTGATGTTGCACTTAATGAGGGGTGTGTTTCAATAGGACAGAAAGCAACTTTTTCGCGTGGCGCGGGGCGAAACATTTGTCGCTACAGAAACTTCAGGTCCATCGCTGATCATAAGTGGACCTGGAGTTCCTGCGGTGACGAATGTTTCGCGCGCGAATGGCTTTCTGTCACCTATGAGGAAGAACAGTAAATTATTATGTCTTTTGAGTCGGTCATTAATCTCAGGTAATTGTTCTTTCGCAGGGTGACCTTACACTATGAAACAGTGCAAAACCCAAAAAATAGTAATAAAAGGTTAGAAGAAGAGGTGCTCTTGCCAAAATTGCGATACAAGGGTTCCTCATAGTGAGGAATGGGCTGACGATGCTAGAAAAATTCCCAGTCAGCTGTTTTTTTTTCCAAAAATGCAAAATTATAGGGTGACCTTATAATAATGAAACGCACTGTATTCGTAATCACGGCGTCCAATTACCTCCGTAGGCAATTTGGAAGAAAAATAAAATTTCGGATTTTGGAGCAGTAATAGTGGAACAGTGGTACTTCTTTTGAATTAGGATATTCCTGATATTGAAATTATGAAGGGCTAAAATAAATGTGAACCAAACCTGTGGCTTTTTCGCGATAGCCAGTCATGAGTGTAGAGTAGGCTATCCCGTCGTCAACAATAGTAGGCGGCCCGACGTAGTCACAGGTCACATGCCGAAGAGATGTGGAAATTGGATTTGTAAAGGAGCGTTCCACAATTCTGAAAATTATATACTTTGGTACTTCACAGTGACGACGCTACTATGAATTCTTGCGAACTATTATAGAACCGAAAACTGCACATTCAACGAGAAATGTTAGGCCCATGTCATAGTTTGCGAATCGAGCGATTCGCAAACTATGACATCGGCCTTATGGTGTCCACGCATACTACTTGACATAAAGTAGCGCTCGATGTTTTCATCGAAGCGTTTAATAGAGAGAGCATTAGAGTTTAAGAGGATAACACCGATGAGTGTCGCATCAATGCGGAAGTCACCAGGTAAACGGATTCTCATTTCTTGGATTCTTCGCCATTTCTCCTGGCTTTTCCTCATTCGGCCGATGTCAGACTTTGTGAAAGGCGCGATTCGCTAGCGTCTCCGGTCGCGTCGCGGCCAGTGATTCACTCAATTGGCTGGTACCGCAACGCGCAACGCGATTCGCAAAGTCGGACATCGGCCTTCCAAACCATGATCACCTCTATCTTGATCCTGATGGGCTGCCTTCCAAACGTTGACTTCCCCTTTAGTTTGTCTTCCGAACAATATCTGGTAGACTTTTAGGTGTTGTCCAGTCAGTATTGACGGGGCCCCGAAGAAGTCGCGTGCGTGTGAAAGGCCGCTCATGGCGAAGCATATGTTTTCACGCCCAATGGGCAGGGTAAGGGGGTATATAAATTGACGAAGCAGAGTCGAAGTTCATTACCTATCGTGGAACAGACCTGAGTGTAAACAGCTCTATCGACTCAACACTCAACTCGAAGTACTCCTGCACAACCGAACCAGTTCCTCTTCCCTCTCATCGGGAGCATTATGTTCTCACCGACCCTGAAGAGCACCCTGGCTATTCGTATGAAACCGTAACCTATCCATATGATCGGTGCTAATAAAGGTTCTGCTGTCGGAGAAGGCGGAATTACTATACGAGAGAGGGCCGTTCAACGCAGGGCCTTGTGTGAGATCAAGTTGTGACCAACGCAGTTCTGATGGAGTGGTGCGGAAGTCGATTGGCTACAAAGTGGTGATTCGGTGATAGGGAAAAATTCTAGTTTGTGCTCGGCTCATTCTGTTTTGTTCCCTTTTCTGAAATCGAACACAGGTCCCCAACTCTAGTGTCCGGTTCCGTTGGGGTACGTGGCCGAAGTCCAGCTTTCTTAGCGTGTATTTGCAGGGAGCGCAAGTGGGAAACTTCTTAGAACCGTGAGCCTTAGTGGCGAGAGCGTGTCCGTATCCATGATCCTGTCTGGAAACATTCCCAGTGACTAATGCACTGGCAGGACAACAGCGGGATTCTCTGATCTCAATTGCCTTGTCCGACTCCCGAGCATCGTTCGCGCTGATTGTCCTACTGTTAGGAAAAATCTTTCCTTCAGTGTTGCAACGTTATGTTGCTGTTGTTGTTGTAATTTACAAATAAATTGATTGTCTCTACTCCTTATTTGACCTGCTGGACCGTTTCGATGTGACCATATCGGTTGTGAACTGCGTAATCGGCTTAAATTGCTTGTGCTTGTGCTCAGTTGTTCAACTGGTTCATTGCCATGAACATCTGGTCATTATTGCATACAATGGTTTTCATTTGAGACTGCGAAACTACAAGTAATGTTGTCCACAAGCCCAAAGGAACCGACCTCTTACAAGGAAGGTCTTTCAGGAGATGGAGCGTTTTTTCAAAATGGTTTTCTGTTTGTTGCAGAGCCTTGTGTGAGAAACACAGATCCATGGTCCTTTCCTGTAGGCCCCTAGGAACGTCAAGACAGTGGTGAACAGATGGTCCAGAGTTCGACCCCGGTGATGGCTAATTTTTGCAATTTTTGGCGCCTCCAAATTGCGGCAAAACACAACAGTGGCATCTATTCTCGAATGGCGCCGATTGGCGGCAATTTGGAGGCGCCAACGTAAGTTGCAAAAATTAGTCATCACCGGGGATCGAACTCTGGACCATCTGCTCACAACTGTTTTGACGTTTCTAGGGGCGTTCAGGATAAATGGATCATCGTTCTGTGTTCCTCGCATGAGCCTCTACAGAATCCAGAAGACCATTTTGAAAAAGCGCTCCATGTCGTGAAAGACCTCCCTTGTTAGGCCGATGTCAGACTGCGAATAGAGCGATTCGCTAGCAATGTCATTTGACTCGACACAAATTGCGAAAAACAGGGTTTTTCTCTGCCGTGATGAGGTGCTGTAGTCAAGCGGTGGAATGAAATAAAGATGAGAAATAGTGACATATTGCCAGGGTCAACACCAAGTCGAACATTCGAACACCACCGTAATTGCATCGTGGTTTTTGCGCTTACTATAAGCTTTTAGTCTTGCAGTGCGTTACAATCCTTAAAGCAACAATCCCAGATGGGGGTCGTGTGGAACAAGCTATTCTGAGGGTAGAATAAAGTTGCCCCCGGATATTACAAAAGTACCGTTGCCGCGATTCAAAGGTGCGCGGCAATGGCGCCCTTTTTTATGTATACTGATGAGAGCAAGCATAGACCAACGGACGAGATACCTCGCACATACCACATGAAACAACGTGAGTTACGACGTAGCGGCTAATTCGAATACGCGCGGGTTAGTGAAGCCACAGAGCAAGCAACTCAGAAAATTCGTCAGCTCCCCCCCCCCTCCCTCTAGGAGAGTAGTCCCTATTGATAGTTGCTTCGGCAGCCTCCATTGCTTTTTTTCATTTTCAGTCACTCGGCATCCACACTTTCATTATCGACCGCTGTTCGCTGACCAATTTGATCAGAGGTTGTTGTTTTAGTAAAAAAAATGCAATGAGAACAAACACCTTGTTTCGAATATCGTTTGCAGATCGGGCAAAGCGCAAATTTCCTTGACACATTCACATTTGAACTGATCTATGTTGTTACACTACTCGAGTACTGCGGCCGCAAAACCCCGAAATTTCATTTTTTGTCGAAACTTTGCCTATATAGGTGGTTTGGTGCGCTGATAAAAAATATGGCAGCCACTCTTATTGTTAGCAGTAGCGCCATTTGCTCCAATTTCGGGCCAGTTTGGCGCAACACTTCCCTCCGAATTAACAGCAAAACTATGCGTGGAGAATATTCAATTAGAAGTCAGCATCTGCCTTCACTGTCGTGACTGCACCAATGTAACAATGCTGTCGCGATGGCAAAGTGCTTTACCTTCTTGGCCCGTATGGGTGTCGGACTGCTCGCGAGAGTACTCGCTTGCGTGTTGATTCATGCCACTTCCCACGCTCTCAAATTGCTACAGTCGCGATACTCACCTCTACACCTATCAAACGATAAACTAGGCAAAGTGCAGTCGCGATAGCGCGGTCGCCATTTCACTTTGCCATCGCGACATGACAGTATGCTCCGCGAATTTCCTTGAAAATTAGGGCGTAGCCGCGGTGAGCGCGGCCAAGTCAGCAATTTTCCGCTCTGCGGGGGCCGAAGTCACATGGGGAGCGGAAACTGTGGTAGGACCGTCCTATCCTTCCCCTAAGCTAGGAAAACAAAAATCCCTTTCAAATTTTCTTTGCATCAAAAACCGCCCTCAGAAACCGATATTGTATAAAATGTAGAAGTGTGTAAAATCAAACAAGTGTGGAAAGTAAGGGAACAGTGTCGTTGAAAACAAAGTTCAAAGAACTTATTCTTTCCTTCGGTCTGGGGAAAGAAAAAGACACGGCTCCTGATGGAGCGGTCTAAAATCCATCCGCAACAGTGGGGCACCACCGACTTTGCCATTCTCGCTGCGGCGATGCCGCAAGGAAAGTCACGGAGCCATAACAGTAAACCAGATTTAGTTCGCTGAAACAGGAAGTGGCTTTTTCTGCCTTACGCACGCAAACTTTTTTTACTGCAGAAACCCCAGGTCCAACACTGATCAGTAGTGGACCTCTGGCCCGGTGCAGCATACCGGCCAGGAACCGGATCCCCAAAACTGCTCTACTCCGGTTGATGACGCCGTCCACGTGACCAATGATAGGGGGATGCGTCCAGAGATGCAGTTTGGGGACCCATCTCCCGGCAGGGGCTTGCTGCACCCAGCCCTTGGGGTTCTCGCGCAGAAAAGGTTTCGCTGCACAAAGCGGAAACACGCCCCAATAAACTGGAGTCTGACACAATTGGCGCCAAGCATGGATAATGTATTCCTGATCAGCGCGCTAAAATACGAGTATGGATACTGAACTGAGAATTCCTAGAAATGGACACGGATTTGCGCCTATTCATACTCAAGTGTGAACAGAAAAAAAAATAATTCGCATAGTGGCATATCACAGCGTCATGAAATTTGTCTAACAAACTCGCAGTAAACAACCGAGCCCATGGCGGAAAGAAACTGATAAGAACGAATGTTTAATCACCCTCCATTCAAGTTCACCCTGGCATGTTACTGAGGAAAAGGAGAGAAGCCAAAACTGAATCTGGCAAAAAGATATCGAGACAGTGGAAGTACAAACCGCACCTGCAAAAATACACGACAACTGATCCAACCGCTAAAATGAGCACTGAGCTGACATGCCAAAATAGGCACAGGATTCTTGATGATTGCTTCCGTGTTCGTTTTTGATAGCAGCGACAACAGTCAATTGTAAAAAGTTTTGGGACCCAGAAAGTTGGGTGTGGCCCACTAGGACAGAAAGTGACCTTTGCGCGATTAGTGCGCAAAACATTTTTCGCCATAGGTACTCCAGGAGCGGTATTCAATCCTTCCCCCAGGGGGATATATCCCCCTTCTCTGATTCAATCCTCTGAGGGGACAAAAAAGGGTTGCGTCATAGGACCTAGCATACCTGTGTGTTCCTTCTACCTGCCAGACAGTTAGAGCAGCGCTACTACCCTCCACTGATGAAGCACTCTTTTCCCTGAGGAGTCGCGGTATGGTAGGTCCTATGGCGCAACCCTTTTATGTCCCCCCAGAGGATTGAATCAGAGTAGGGGGATATATCCCCTGGGGGGAGGATTGAATACCGCCCCAGGTCCACTCAATCATCGTTGGACCTGAGGTTCCTGCAGCAAAAAGTTTCGCGCTTCGAAACATGATGAAGTCGCTTTCTGTCCTAGCGAACCACGCCTAGAAAGATAGTGGATGCCTGCACAAAGTCAGCAAGAAGGAGAATCGGCGGAGCTCAAGTGATGTTCGGGGACCGTTTAGAACAATCGACGCATTTGAACCAAATAAACTCTTCGTTATAAAATTGAAACAAAATTAATGCCTGCCGGGGGCTTTCAGACTCGCAAATCACTGCCAATGTCGGTCAGACGGATTCACGTTATACGAGCTGTTAAGTTATGGTAAATATACCATCAAAAGCCGAGTGGAGGTGAAGCAGTGCCCTGGTAGTGCAACTGGTAGCACAGCTGTCCGACAAACGAGAGAAGCGGGTTCAAATCCCGACCGGGGTAAAGATTTTTACTCACAGCTCAACTTTCTCAGGATAACACTTACCCAGTTCAGTTCACTTAGAATCGCCATAGACGCACAAACTGCAGCACCTCACTGCCCCTTGACTTTTAGCGGACTAGTTGAACTCGGTCCTTTGAAGTGTCAAAATTTGATGATCCCCCTGCGCTCTCTAGACTCAATCGCCACTCATGACCACTGCGATCTCATGCATTCAAACTTTTGCCACACTGCGATCGGTTCACTCACCC